GTCCTCATTCTGGATTCATTTATTTTGAAATGGTGGACAACTGCAACTGTAGCTTATGCCAGATCTTAATCTCTGGCACATATCAAGCAATTCAACTTTCTCTTCTGTAATATCATGTGTTTTCTCTGCTTCTTGGGAGCACTTCCAGCATCACTAGTGATACTTCGTATGGGTCCCATGGTGTTATTTAAGGTTTACAGTGTTGCACTAAACATCATAAAAATATGTGAGAACTGTGAGAGATCACTTTTTATGACAAGATGCAGTTTACTAGAGACAAACTGCTTCTGCAGAGATGACTAGTGTCACAAGGCATTTTAAGCAGATACTTGTAACTTAAAGCTTACAACAGCAGCAACAGGAGGTGGCTGTGAAATTATTATGTATTGTAGTGTGTAATACAGTCAGTTTTATGCAGTTATGATTTAATACTGCATCCTTATGTCTTTTTTTTTACATTTCTCTTTACTGTGAATGGTGCTATTTATGGTCTGTAAGTGTTTGTGTGGGTAAGTTTTGATAAATTTTAACTTTTTATAACTTATGTATACTTTATTGTAGTAAATGATAAACTAGGCTAGTATCTACATATATTTTATGCATTCATGAAATACCTAACTTAGCTTAATTTTTTGATATTTCTAATTCATCTGTGAGTTTTTTCAAACTGTCACAAATCTCCAAATATTTTTCCAATATTTTTACTGAAAAAAATCCACATATAAGTAGACCCATGCAGTTCAAACTTGCATTATTCAAGGGTCAGCTATAGTTCTTTCTTATGCTTGGTTATAATTATTTCAAACTATATATTTACCTTTTTCTCTATTCTCAGAGTTGGGTATCGGAAATTAAAAAAGAAGAAGATAAAATGCACTTTCATGAAACCGAGACATTTCCAGCAATGAAAGATAATTTGCCTCCAGTTCGTGGTTCAAACAGCTGTCTTCATGTTGGCAAGGTAGGCCTTTTTGATATCTTTGTGGGTGGTAGTGGGAGAGGATTGTTGCTGTTTATTAAGGGGCAATCTCAGTTGAATCGGAGCAGCCTATGTGTGATGTCCTCTAGGAGAGTTGGGGAGTTTGTTCAGCTGGCTGGGAACTAGCACCTTCTTCACTAGGCTGTATCTCATTACTTGGAGATCAAAATGAAACAGTTTTTTCCTTTGAAGTCTTGCATCTTGGGCTTATTTACTGCCTTTAGTCTTTTTTTTTTTTATATATATATATACGCCCTGTCTCTTCTGTCCAATTTTGATGAGAGCAAAAGGTCTGATTCAGTGTGTGAAAATTTCAGGGAACAATTATATATATATATCTAGTAGGGCTACAGAGGATGTATCATATTACATAATTTAATTATGGATTTAAAACAGTAAACAGATACTTTCAGTACTTATAAATGTCATTCCTCTATTTAGTGCATGTGTTCTTCCCCTTATTCCCATTTCTCTGTGTGGTCCCTATTTTGTCACATAGACCTCTCCTTTTTAATCCGTGGGCTCCATACAGAAGGGGACTGTTGAAGTTCCAGGCCCATTCTATTTAACTTTAGATCGAAACTGGGTTTCCTGGCATCCATCTGACCTTGTAATTTCTCAGATGACTCCTCAAGTCTTTTCGTTTCTAGGTTAACTCATTCTTGTGATTCTCATCTTTTCTTTGAATCAATTTTATTTTAAAAACATCCATGGCTCTTCATCACTCTGCTCTCTGATAATTTACCTTCCTGGATCTTTTTACTCCTCATTAGGAATTACGTATGTAACTGAGGTGTACAGTAATCTGGTGAGGATGCCACTGTCTGCAATCCATGAAATTGTATTTATTGAATAGTCGGTCGGGCACGGTGGCTCATGCCTGTAATCCCAGCACTTTGGGAGGCTGAGATGGATGGATTACTTGAGTCCAGGAGTTTAAGACCAGCCTGGCCAACATGGTGAAACCCCATCTCTACTAAAAATGCAAAAACATTAGCCAAGCGTGGTGGCATGTGCCTGTAATCCCAGCTTCCTGGGAGGCTGAGGCACGAGAATTGTTTGAACCCAGGAGATGGAGGTTGCAGCGAGCTGAGATCATCTCCTCTGTCTCAAAAAAAAAAAAAAAAAAAAAAAAAAGAATAGTCCTTGTGCACTAAGACTGTGCCCTGAAAATATAACAATGAATAAGCATTGCTGAAGGAGCAATGGGGTGGACGGACTAGTGGTACAGTAGTTCTCAAAGTATGGTCTAGGAAGCCCTTAAAGTCCCAGAGATTCTTCCAGGGGATCCAGAAAGTCAGTGCTATTTTGAAAATAATACTAGTGCTTTGTCCTTGTCACTGTGTTGGCATTTGCCCTGAGGATAAAGCTGCTGTTGCTTTAACATGAAGCAAGGCAGGCACCACACTGTACATACAGTAAAAATAAATCCCAATATTACTTAAAAATACCTTTAATAAAATAATAGAATATTTACTTTGTTAGATCTTGAACTTCTAGGACATGTCCTTTTAGTATTTTGTGTGACAAAGTGAGAAGTATGCAGAAAGCACTTCCCTGCATAGTGAAATATGATGGTTATGATATGATGCATAGCCACGTTTTCCTGGAACACTGTTTCTACTTGAAATAATGGTTGACAAACTGTCATTATTCAGACTTGGGATTTCAGCAACAATTTTGTTGAAAGTGAATGAAGGAGGCCTGTCACTTTAAGGAAAACAACTCACAGTATTTGTTGCTAGTAAGCAAATCTGAGCTTTCAAGTGCAAATTAGGTCCAAGCAAGTGGGGCAGTGGCTCAGGCCTGTAATCCCAGCACTTTGGGAGGCCAAGGCAGGTGGATCACTTGAGCCCAGGAGTTCGAGGCCTGGGTAACAGAGTGAGACCCCATCTCTACAAAACTTTTTTTTTTTCATTAGTGTGGTGTGGTGGCACATGCCTGTAGTTGTAGTTCTAGCTACTCAGGAGACTGAGGTAAGAGGATTGCTTGAGCCCTGGAGGTCAAGGCTGCAGTGAGCCATGATGACACCACTGTACTCCAGTCTGGGCAACAGAGCAAGACCCTGTCTCTAAAAACAAAGTGCAAATTAGGACTTTAGGTATTAAATATTTAGTATAATATAATAATATCTAATAATTTAGATACTATGTGTTTCTCAAATTTCTGCTTGTGACAGAAAATAACCCTTAAGGGGGATACTTGTCAAAGGACAACATTATAACAAATTTCAAGATTTAATTGGCTTATATTAACAATTTGTGAATCAGGATGACATCTCCTCTAAAAATTTAGAAAATGTGCTCCAATGGCCATGGCAGAACAGCTGGTTTTTATAAGGTAGCTTGAGCAGGGACAAGGAATACAAAAAGTAGACTATTTAACAACAGGTTATTTTCCTTATAAGGGTTAAAGCAGAAATTTGGTTATTATCTATGTCTTTTGATTTCTCTAGTCAGATAAGCAAGTTAATTTTGGGTTGGTGATATGGAACTTTAGCACCAGTGACTACATTTTAGTCTGTTGGGGCCTAGTGCAGGAGCTTAGTCCAAATCACTGACCTCCTATAAATTTTATTTAACATACCTGAAAGTCTTTTTTGATGAGCTCCATGCGGATATTAACAAATTGTGATTTATAAAATTGTATAATGAAATCTGTGAATATTTGGAAAATCTGTATAACTCCAATGACCGATAGTTTTGAGGAGTGTGAGAATGTCATGATACTGAAAAATTTGAGCCGCCCCATGGATTATGACAGTAAATATGCAGTGTTATGAGAATACATAGAAGGCACATGTCCCAATCTTTCAGTCAGAGAGCATTGCCTTCTTAAAATATCCAAATATAATATTACACATTAGATTTTATCCCATATACTAAGTCCATGTCTTGAGACTTTTATTGCTCCCCGTTCATTTTTTTATTTATTGAAAATTTTTTTCTTCTTTATTCAGTTATAATTGATAACACTTGCATATATTTATGGTGTGATAAAACAATGTGATGTTTTGATATATCTACACAGTTTGAAATGTCAAGCCAATTCATGTCCATTTCTTGATCCCTAAAGGGGGATATTTTTTGTCACAGGTAGGTATTTGAGAGCCACGTATGAATATTAAATACCCCTGATTTCACATCAATGCCTTTTGAAACTAAGTGATACAACTCGTATTAGTTTCCTAGGGCTGCTGTAACACCACAGGAAGTGGTTGACATAAAACAACAGAAATGTATTCTTTCACAGTTCTAGGGGTTAGAAGTACAAAATCAAGGTATTGGCAGGGCCTCTAAAACCTGTAAGGGAAGATCCTTCTTTGGCTCTTCCAGCTTTTGGAAGCCCTGGCCTTCCTTGCCTTGTAGCGGTACAACTCTAAGCTCTGTTTTCATTTTCACACCGCCAGCTTCCTTCTCTTGGAACTTCTTCTCCTCTTTTTATAGGGACACAGTCATACTGGATTAGGGCCCACCCTAATGACTTCATCTTCACTTGATTATATTGCAAAGACTCTATTTCCAAATAAGGTCTCATTCACAGGTACCAGGGTTAGGACTTCATCATACTGTTTTGGGAGACACAATTCAACCCATAACATCATCTTAGCATTGAGAACATTGTCTTGATGAGCAGGAAATCGAGTGCAAGCATCAAATGAGACTTTTTGAGCCTGTAAGGACTGCATAGTACTCATTTATGTGGTTTATATAGTTCCTAGTATTGCTATTAGCAAACCTGAGCCTAATGAGAATGAAGATATGTAACAGTTTAAAAACAAATTAGCACCTACTTTATTATTATAAATTCTACTATACTTCCCTTTCTTCAAACTATATAGATAAATATTTTAAAGTTAATAATTCCTTAGTACTTACCTAGCAAAAAATTGTACCCTCTCTCGGAGACTGATTATTGGTGAGCATTATGGCTATTGTTTGCCTTTCTCTCATTCTGTTCCGGTGCAGAACCTGCCCTCTGTCCTCAGCAGTGGGAATGTGGCTACTTTGGGCCACTGTTAGTGCTTGGTCAAGATGGGCCCATGACCCGAGCTAGCCAATCAGTTCTTCCTTGAAATTTCTCTAACTGAAGACAGAGAGAAGAGTCACTCTCCTTTTCCTCTGGTGGAGAGAGCTGTGAGGTTATAATTCCAGAATGCTTGTGGCGATGTTTCCTGCCACGTAAAGAAAGCAAGTACCCATCAGGGAAAGTGAAATCAGCATGTAGAGAGGAGCAGAGACTGGGAGGGACATGGAGAGCTGGAGAAAGGGCATAGGAATCCCCTCATCCAGCAATACCCCTGCCCTTCCATCAGTTTAGTTATATAGGCTGATAATGTCTTCTTTTTTAATGTAATTATTCCAAATCAGATTACTGTCATTGCAAACTTCTGACTAACATAGCAGTTATTCTTGTTTCTCCAATGCCTAGGTTTGAAAAGAATGAATCAGAATTTAGTACTTTTTTATTATAAGAAAATCAGTAATAATCATATTCACACATAAGTTTTAAAATTATATGTATATATACTTAAAAACCTATAGATTGTCCCCAGAATTAACTACAAATTTAAAATTCTTAATAACTTTAATGCTGAAGTTATAGTAACTTCCAGGGTACCTATTTTTCTTATCTATTCCATTTGTATATCTTTATTTTATTTTTTTGAGACAGTGTCGCTTTGTCACCCAGGCTGGAGTATAGTGGCTCAATCTCTGCTCACTGCAACCTCCACCTCCCAGGTTCAAGCAATTCTCATGCCTCAACCTCCAAGTACCTGGGATTGCAGGCATGCGCCACCATGCCCAGCTAATTTTTGTATTTTTAGTAGAGACGGCATTTCTCCATGTTGGCCAGGCTGGTCTGGAACTCCTGGCCTCAAGTGATCTGTCCACCTCAGCCTCCCAAAGTGCTGGGATTACAGGCGTGAGCCACTGCATCTAGCCTCCATTTGTATGTCTTAACCCAATACTTTACATTGCATTTACAGTAAAACCTGATAATCTTATATTAAATATATCTCATAAAATATGATTTTATTCTTTTAGGAAAAATGTTCTAAAAGACCAACTAAAAAGAAGACTCCAAGGGATTATGCGGAATGGGATAAGTATGTTTTACATGTCTTTATATAAAATGTATCACTAAAAAAGTTATCTACCACAAAATACTGCAGTAATTTCTTAAATAATTATTATAAACCTGAACATGTCAAGAATACCAAATTACTTTAATAGAGTACTGAGAATATCTGGCCTCAGCCCTTTCAATGTTTTTTTCAGTACATAAAAAACTACTATATCCTTTTTTTTTTTTTTTATAAAACCAACCAAAAAAAAAACTAATGTAATTTTTATACCCATCCAAACTATAAAAGAACAAAAATGTAAAATTGAGATAAGTTAGTCACAATTTTAATTTCAAAGTTCTGACCAGTTTAGATTTGATTAACGTTTAAGCTCTCACTAAATTGTGTGTTTTCTTAAGAAGGAACTCAGATGACTTGAACTATAAAGTTACTGCATATCTTTGAATATGGATCCAAAGGCATACTTGTACAAATATAAGAATATCAATAATACATTTGTTTTCTTGCCTGTATTGTACTTCTTTTGGTTTTTATTGTTCTTTCATTTAAGATTTGACGTGGAAAAGGAATGTTTGAAAATTGATGAAGATTACAAAGAAAAGACGGTAACAGACAAGTCACACTTGTCTAAAATTGAGACAAGAATAGATACAGCAGGTAATTGGAGAAAAAATAATAATTTAGTGTCTTTAAAGTTTTTGAATTATAATAAACACTGTCAATCTAGAAGACATTGTCCTTGAGTACTGCACAGATTACCATGAAAAGTTTATGGATTCTCTCCGACAGTTGACCATTCAACAAATTTGCTTCTCTCTTTTACTCACTTAATTTTTAAATGTAGTAAGACTTTAAAATATAAACCTATTTTTCTTACTGTAATTCATTTGTTTGTAATTCCTTTTTTTCCAATCCTCTTTTCCCTCCAAATTCCTCAAATTGTTTTCTATTTGCTTCAAAACAAAAAGATGGGGCAGTTTATTTGTTTTTGTTTATAGTCAACAGATGAATGGCACCTATAAAGTAAAACAAAATCAATCATTAAAAAAATTCTGAATCCTCAAAACTTGTGAATGATTTAAAAAGAAAACATCACTAAGCTTAAGGAACCTTTTATTTTCTTTTGTTTATTTTATGATCTTTCTGCTCTGTTCTGCTTCTGTTAAAATAGGCATTCTTAGATTTAAACTTTAAAAATTCTGTTAAATTATATGTTTACATATAGCAGATAACATTTATTTCTAGGTCTAACTGAGAAAGAAAAGGATTTTCTTGCCATTCGTGAAAAGGAGAAAGGAAACGAAGCTTTCAACTCAGGAGATTATGAAGAAGCAGTGATGTATTATACCAGGTGAGCAGACTTTTGTTGTGGTTTAAACTTGCCTTTTAAAAAATGATAATGTTTTAATTGTTGAAACATAAATAAGCAAAAGTCTATGTCAGAATCTCTCAATGTGTTGTACTTGTGATTTACCATATATTCACTTGTGTTTCTCCTATTTTTTCAATACTTTTCTCAAACCTTTAAGCTCCCACTCCACTCCTACTTTTGACAGAGGACTTAACTTCCTGTCTTGCAGAGAAAATAGCAGCCATCTGACAGGAATTCAACAGAAGGCCTATATGATATAGAAGTGAATAACTTAGGTTCTACTGTAGACTGCCTGGATTTAATTCTAGTATTTGTGGTGCTCCTTCCTACCACAGGGCCTTTGCACATGCTGGGTCCTCCATCAAAAATGCTTTTCCCATGGCTGATCTGAGTACAGTAGTGTTTACAACTAATTGATCACAACCAGATACAGATTTCCTTGTCCCTTCTCCACTCCCACCGTTTCACTTGACTAGCCTTTGAAAGAGAAAAGAAAATTAAGAAAAAAAAAATGCTCTTCCCTCCTCCCATTATCTAATTAATTCTGATTTATCCTTCAGATCTTAGTCTTCCCCTTACTTCTTTGGAGAAGTCTTACTTGACCTTCCAAACTAGGTTAAATCTCCATCCCACCCCACCCACTTCACCTCCCAATTTATAGGCTCTTATAGCAGTCTTACCTCTCCTTTGTAGCACTTGTCAGAAGTATAATTTAAGCTTGTGTGATTTGATAATAACTAGAATGTAAGATTTGTAAGAGCAGAACCCATTTGTCAAGGATTTTTACATCATTGTATCCCCAAGGCCCAACAAAGTACCTGGTTCATAGTAGCTGTTCAATAAGTATGTATATGAACTTCTGAAGTTCTTAACAGCCTATGAAAAGTAGACTAAGTTTTTAAAATGTTGTTACAGATAAACTGTTCTTATAGAATCACCAATGCCACCTTAGCCCTAAACTCTGTACAATCTTTTTTCCACCTTTGGAAATAAGATAGATTTTTTTCAATGTTGTTGATGTCTCTAAAGAAGTTTTCTCAGACTGTTTAAATGAAGACATGAGGTAAAGAGGATATATGATGGATCATTCATTCAGTACAGCCTCCCCTGTTCAGGCAGGTGGATGTCAGTCTTGATAACTGTTCTTTCTTTTCTTGTAGATTTATACCACAGAGTCTCTTGTCTATTACAGGTTGCAAAACTCTTTTCTTCTTTTATGAGGAATCATGTAGTTGAAGAATTAAAGCAGCATAGTATAATGGTTAATGGTTAAGGGAATTCAGACTACCACTTTCTGACCTTGGGCAGATTCTTTTTTTTTTTTTTTTGAGACAAGGTCTCACTCTGTTATCCAGGCAAGAGTGCAGTGGTATGATCATAGCTCACTGCAGCCTCAAACTCCTGGGCTCAAGGGATCCTCCCACCTCAGCCTCCTGAGAATAGCTGGGACTACAGGTGTGAGCCACCACACGTGGATAATTTTCTCTTGTATTTTTTTGTAGAGACAGGCTCTCACTATGTTGCCCAGGCTAGTCTCGAACCCCTAGCCTCAAGCCATGCTCCCACCTTGGTCTCCCAAAGTGCTGAGATTACAGGGGTGAGCCGCCATGCCTGGCTCCAAAAAATGTGTTTGGTATTTGATATTTGATGTTAACTGACATCAATGGTTTTTTTTAAGGTGATCTATAGGTATTTATCTTTTTCTACCTTCATTTTAATTCTAGTAACTAAAGCTCAGATTCCAGATATATGAGTATTTAAATTCTCATAATGCCTCTAAAGCCTGAGTTAACCTTAAGGCTATTAACTGGATGTTTAAGCATCTGTTTAAATATTGATTTAGTATGCTTGTAGAATTGTATTTTATTATTTTTGATAACATAGGCTATATTCGTTTGCAAAGGTTGCTGTAACAAAGTACCACAGACTGAGCGGCTTAAACGAGAGAAATTTCTTTTCTCACACTTCTGGAGGCTGGAAGTTTGAGATCAAGATGCTAGTAGGGTTGGTTTTTTCAAGGCCTCTCTCCTTGGCTTCTAGGTGGCCATCTTCTCCCGGTGACTTTACAGTCTGTCCATACATGTATGTCCGAATATCTTCTTATTATAAGGAAACCACTTTTATGGGATCAGGGCCCCCTCTCATGACTTCACTTCACCTTAATTGGCTTTTTAAAGACCCTATCTCCAAATACAGTCATGTTCTGAGATACTGTGGGGTTAGGACTTCAACATATGAATGTTGGTGGATACAATTCAGCCATTCAACAATTAAACACAGGTTATAATTGTTTTATGTGTAACTTAAGCTGAATTTCTCTACGTTCTTGTGTTTACCTTAGGCTTGCTTGTTGCCAGTAACGGTTTCTTTTCTAGGAGCATATCGGCGCTTCCCACTGTAGTTGCCTATAACAATCGAGCTCAAGCACAAATCAAATTACAGAACTGGAATAGTGCTTTTCAGGATTGTGAAAAGGTCTTGGAGTTAGAACCTGGAAACATAAAGGGTAAAAAATATTATAGAATTCTTTTACATTTACAGCAGGACCCATTAATAAAGACCATTCGTAGATACTTGCAATGTTTACATTAAAAATATTTCAGATAAACTCAAATTTCTGTATGTGAATCACCAACTTCACAAAGTTGGCTTTAAGTTTAACTTGTAAGTTAAGTCCCTGATTATTTGTACGGAAGTAGCTAATAATCCCAGAGGATTTAATAAAATACATATATATTTTTAAGAAGTATCTCAGTAAACAAAAAACCAACAACAAAAATAAAATAAAAGAGAAGTATCTCGGCCAGGCACAGTGGCTCACACCTATAATCCCAGAATTTTGGGAGGCCGAGGTGAAATGATTGCTTGAGTCTAGGAGTTTGAGACCAGCCTGGGCAACACAGCAGAACTCTGTGTCTCAAAAAAAAAAAAAAAAAAAAAAAAAAATCCCCACTTTTTTTTTAAAATTTTTTTTTTCAAAAAAAAAAAAAAAAAAAAAAAAAATATCCAGCTTGCATTTGAACATTCTCTTTATCCAAAAAAAAAAAAAAAAATAAGTATAGCTTCATGTAGATTTTCTGTTATTTATAAATATAATAAAATTATAAGCCCACACTGGACCTCTAGAACCTTCTCCCAGCTTCTTTGTGGATATTTTCACCTAGGTGGCTGTATATAATTTTGTTTGTTTGTTTGTTTGTTTGTTTGAGACAGAGTCTCATTCTGTCACCGAGCCTGGAGTGCAGTGGCATGATCTTGGCTCACTGCAACCTCTGCCTCCTGGGTTCAAGTGGTTCTCCTGCCTCAGCTTCCCAAGTAGCTGGAACTACAGGCATGCACCACCACGCCTGGCTAATTGTTGTATTTTTAGTAGAGAGATGGGGTTTCACCATGTTGGCCAGGCTGGTCTCGAACTCCTGACCTCAGGTGATCCACCTGCCTTGGCCTCCCAAAGTGCTGGGATTACAAGCGTGAGCTACCGCTCCTGGCCTGTTTTTGTTTTGTTTTGTTTTGTTTTTGAGATAGGGCCTCACTCTGTCACCCAGCCTGCTGTGCACTGGTGCAATCTTGGCTTACTGCAACCTCCGCTTCCCAGTCTCAAGCAATTCTCTCACCTCAGCCTCCCAAGTAGCTGGGACTACAAGCATGTGCTACCACACCCGGCTAATTTTTTTTGTATTTCTTTAAAGATGGGGTTTCACTGTGTCGCTCAGGCTGGTCTCAAACTCCTGAGCTCAAGTGATCTGCTCACCTCGACCTCCCAAAGTGCTGGGATTACAGGCATGAGCCACTAAGCCTGGCTTGCTATAAATAATTTAATTTTCACTTTAAATTAATAATTTGAATAACTTAATTATAAATTAAATTTGTCCAAAAATGACTCTTTCTGCCAGAAACCTGCACTCTATTTTGATTCCCTGTCCCTGTGACTGACCACCTTGTCATGGTTCAGACCTGAAGTATGCAAATCAGACTCTATTCTCCTTTTCTGTTATCAAGAAGGAGTCATTCCAAGAGGGAGTGACATATATTATAATTGACACATTATATTTCTTTAAATTTTTATGGATTCAAAATAAATATAAACACTTTTTCACATGGAATGTATCCCTTTTTGCCTATAAACGTGGTGGAGGTGGCAGAAGCCATGGGAGTGCTAAGGGGAAGCCTGGTGCATCACCTGCCACTGTCATTGTCATGGATTGCCCTCCATTTACCAATAAAGTCCTGTTGGGCCTGTGTTTTATGCAAGCTGGTCTCTGTCACAGAGTATGACTGGGCTCCCAGCTTTAGGCAGCAGCCCACTGAAGGTTTTGCCAATCCCATACCACTGCTCTGTCAGGCCCTGTGCCAAGCACTTTACGTGTATTAACTCTGTTAATTTTAACAAGTCTCGGCTGGGTGCAGTGGCTCATGTCTGTAATCCCAGCACTTTGGGAGGCTGAGGTGTGCAGATCACCTGAGGTTAGGCATTCGAGACCAGCCTGGCCAACATGGCAAAACTCCATCTCTACTAAAAATTAAAAAAAATTAGC